AATGATCGTGACGTTTCAGTGATAGTATAGCCGTGTCTTATGCCACCTTTGGTGGTTCAGGAAAACCTTTGTTGAGAATCTCAGGCCGTTTATGTCAAGCTCGTCTGGAATTGGCGATTAGTTCAGAGATATCATGGACCCAGAAACCTGATTCGCATTTGTGGTAGGGGTCCAAGCATCGAAATCTGAGATCATATGATTGAGCGACTGCTGTTCTTGACCCATTGCTGGAAAATTTGTATAGGACGATAGAGGAAGGGGAAGGCCAAAATCGGTTGTGTTAAATAGCGAGGTTGAAACCCCCCAAGGGGTCGAAGTATCAGGGAAACTGTCGGACCATTGCAGAGTTGGAGGCACCGATCCAAAATCGGAAACCATGAGCGAGGGCTCCAGACTCCTCAAGATAGTCTGGACATGGACGTAATCTCCATGACGGGCAGCTCGGGCAATCTCGCGCAACCCCCATTTTAAGACGATGATGGTGTTCTCATTGGTTTCCATTTTCCTAGCTACCCGGCTTCGGCGATTTGCTTGCCTCTCTCTGTTTCGTTCTCGCTGAGCACATTTCTCTTGTGTGTCTGCATGATGGTTTAGAGTCGCTGTTTCAGCCATGGCCGGTGATTCTGTGGGTTGTATCGACTTGTTCGGTAGGAGCTATCGTGCTGTTGTGTTTCGAAGACCATTGCTGTCCTTTTATGGCTGAGGGCTGCAATGATTTGCCCAAGCTCGAGCCTCCGATGAGTGCTCTGTTGCTTTTCGGACGGTGAAACACCCTGAAAGCCATCATCTTCAAGTTTCAGGTTGTCTCAGTGAAGGGCAGCCCAGGCACACAACACATAGGTAGAACTATTTTTGGAAATACTGCGAAAATATGGAATTTGTTGTACGACGTTAGTCTTCAGGTGGGCATGTCAGCTGTTCCATGTCAATAGGCAGCATAGGTAAAGTTGTATCCATTCAACGATCATTCCGTGAATAATGATTGGCGAATGATCAACATGTAGGTTCATTGATCGCAAGCCCTGGCCCTCAGAATAGAAAGTTCCCTACGGGACTCTATTTTAGGAAACGCGAAAAGAAAGCAGAGAATACCATTCAACCTGCACGGCACCGCAGTCTCCGCGCCGCTCAGCTGACACATGATCAGATGACTGTTGGCCAAGACACTGATACTCATGATACATCTGTCTTCCTTCTTGAAGGCTTTATTTAGAATATAATCACAAAAGAACATGAGGCAGTAAATGGGTCACTGTACCTTAATTGGTATCATGTTTCACGTTTCCATGCTAGATCCATTGGTGAGTCACTCGTTCGGGTTGTTTCTTTCCAAGGGCGCAGCAACTTGTTACAATCTTCGTGTTCCTCCTTCTTGCTGACTATTACACATAGCTGAAAGGAGCGGTCAAACGTCCACAGAAGCGGTTGTCTAAAATCTCCCATCTTCCAAGGATACTATCTGCCCCCTACAGCCTACCAGCACAAAGAGCCATGAAGAATGGATTACGGTTTCCTGTGTGTTGGTTAAACCTTTACTTTGTGTTGAGCATTCCGCCAGGTGCAAATTCTCGCCCCTGTCTACGATCTCCCAAATCGGATATTAACTTGAAAATTAGCTACACGTACGTAACTATATAATGATTCCAGTAGTGAATTGAGTCTCCTACTGCAACAGAAGATCGCGATTGGCAAGCGTGCTGTCCTTATGTCCTCCTGATCCAAGTATCCAATTTTCTTCAGAGCCAAGGATTGGTATTATTCAACAGTGACTCATTGCTTGAGGCTTCTGGTGATTCCAGACTCTGCGTGGTAGCTCCGCAGGTGATCAAGAGGTCAATTTCGTTATTGCCGCAAAGTAGGCCGATCGGCTGACGAGGCTTATACTCACGGGTGGCCTCAAACATATACGAGCCTTTGTCGATATGTACTTTGCAGCCTTTAGGATCGAGGGTCAAATGATCTATCACGGGGAAAAGAACCTGCCTGTCATCCGGCTGAAGTGTAGCCGATGACAGAACAGTATCGTAACGCGTATCTTTGTACGCCCTGGACTC